CTTGCCGAATAAGGCAAGCTAAAATTTGTATACGCAATAATTTCGCAAAAATCATTCTGAATCTAACGAAAAAATATATTTCATTGTGTTTGTTTATTATTAAATTATTGTAAACATATCTAAAATATAATTAGTTGGATTAGGTTAAATTAAACTGCACTAGTTATAGTAAGGTTAGGTAAGTTTCCTAAGGTTCTTTTGGTACAGAATCATTAATTTTTATATTACATAAATGAAAAATATATCTTTAAATGAATAAGAATTTTTTTTAGAAAGGACTTAATTTTAAATGAATTCTTTCTAATTGATCAATTTTACCTATTTACCTATATCGTAAAAATCACAAATAAGTATAGGCAAGTAAACCATAGGAGGGGGTAGAAACTAGAGCTTGAGGCCTTTCGGTATAAACCGTCTTCAGAAGCAAAGTCATTCAGTGAATTGGATAGGGTTTAACTAAGAATTCAAGAATTAGAAAATAAAGTGGATTACCTATAGATTACTTACAGTAGCTTCCAAGGGGCACGGCCTGGTCGCACGGTCCTAGACAAAGCCTCCAGTTTGCTGGTGCCGTTGCCTACATTTTAACGTATGCACCACAGCTGGCTGATGTGAAACTGATTCGAGAAATTTTTCGAGTTCCCACTTGAAGACAGCCAAGGATTTGTTGGTAATTCCTCTTATGCATAAAAGTTGAAGAGTCAGGGTCCCTCTACACTTACTGAGTTCTTTTCTCAGGGCACACATTACTTCCACTTTTAAAATAGTTTTAAAACCTATCTCTAATATGCTAGCGGTTGTATAACCATGAATATACATTGTCAGGAAGATAGCTGTTGTTTAACCACGAGTATACAGTGTCAATAAGCTAGCTGTTGTTTATCCATGAGTATACAGTGTCAATAAGCTAGCTGTTGTTTATCCATGAGTATACAGTATCAGTAAGGTAGCTGTTGTTTATCCATGAGTATACAATGTCTTTAAGCTAGCTGTTGTTTATCCATGAGTATACAATGTCATTAAGCTAGCTGTTGTTTATCCATGAGTATACAGTATCAGTAAGGTAGCTGTTGTTTATCCATGAGTATACAATGTCTTTAAGCTAGCTGTTGTTTATCCATGAGTATACAATGTCAATAAGCTAGCTGTTGTTTATCCATGAGTATACAGTATCAGTAAGGTATTATTATTATTATAATCAAAAAGAACCGCTAAACCACAAGGGTTATACAGCATCAGTAAGGTAGCTGTTGTTTATCCATGAGTATACAATGTCTAAGCTAGCTGTTGTTTATCCATGAGTATACAATGTCAATGAGCTAGCGGTTGTTTAAGCATTGATACCCAGTAGGGATATGCCACCGGTTTCTAAATAAAACCAATCTTAGTGGTTAGAATAACCGTCGTACAATCAAAAGGAAGCGGGTTCGATTCCCAGCGGGATTTATGGCTAATATCCGCGTGTTAGCAGCCTCGTGTGAGTGTAATCTCATTTCCCTATATGTACTTCTAATGCAGTAGACGTTTTATGATCCTTCCGGTTTAGTGTTTCCCCATAAATATAATTCTAATGCAGTATTATAAAAAATTCCATACAGGTTTAGCGCTTCTCACAGAAAATAATTAATTCCTCCCGTAAATGTGCTTTCTGAAGAAAGTTATGTGGATAAATACGAAATTGAGTTCTTTGAATAAATTCAAAATTGAGATATATGAATAAATTCACAGTAGAGTTATAGGAATAAATTCACAACAACATCAAGAGTTTTTTCCCCCGTCACCACATGCCACGTTACATACGAAACCGTACATACGAAACCGGAGTCTCCATTTTCCAAGAACACAGTTTCATACATTTTTTTGTGAGGAGTTTTACAGTCATATTGAGCTTTTTTTTTTACTTTATATAAGATTTTTGCCTCACCAGCACACGTTTTCACAGTTATTTTTTCAATCTGGCATTTTTTTATATATTATAAACAATACTGGGACGGTGTAGACGAGCAGTTCAGAAAACTGACGAGTTGATGAATTTAGATACTTGTGCACACTTGGATAATCTTTACTGTGGAAACATTTCGCCAGCCAGTGGCTTCCTCAGTCCAATACAAGGGAAGAACGGTTGAAGATCAGAAGGAATTTGAGGTAATCAATCCCTCAGCCTGAAGTTGATGTGATTGCTCCATCAGTATTGGGTCATATGCTGATCCTAGTAGGTTGTTGGTTTAATAGTGTCATACCCCCATGAAGAAGGGGCATAAGTGTATGACAAATTTTCAATGTGACAAAGTTTCGCTTTATGCAGAACATTTTTCTTAAGCTCTGTACAGCATTACTGTTGGCAGTGTGTGAATAAATGGTCTAGACAACAAACAAGTTGATAAGTGAGACACTCGAGCAACATTTGGGTATCTTTATACTGGAAACGTTTCGCTAGCAAGTGGCTTCTTCAGCCCATTGCAGAGAAAGATGGAAGATGAGGAGTTTGAGGTAATCAGTCCCTCAGCCTGGAGTCGATGTGTTGAGTCCAAGATTCATTGAGGCGAATATTGATCTGATTGAAGGTCCTTCACTTCTGAGAAGTCTATGTACATGTCTTCTAGCTTTGCATAAGCTACCTGCGCACACGTGAGGATTAGTGATGCCGACCCCTTTGTGTGTGGGGGTGGGGCGCATGTGTGTGGGCGCATGTGTGGGTGAGGGCGTGTATGTGGGCGTGTGTGTGGGGGGTCGGGGTTAAGACGGCTAGTTGGTGAGCGGAATCACAAGTAGACATGGAGAGCACTGGTACACATTTCCCGTGAGGTTGGTGTGTAGGTTGTGGGGTTAGGTATACACGAGTGGTGGGTTAAGAACATGTGTGGTGGATTAGGAACGTGGGTGGTGGATTAGGTAGTGGATTAGGAACGTGGGTGGTGGATTAGGTAGTGGGTGGTGGATTAGGAACGTGGGTGGTTAATTAAGTGGGTGGTGGATTAGGTAGTGGGTGGTAGGTTAGGAACGTGGGTGGTGGATTAGGTAGTGGGTGGTGAATTAAGTGGGTGGTGGATTAGGTAGTGGGTGGTAGGTTAGGAACGTGGGTGGTGGATTAGGAACGTGGGTAGTGAAAAATGCACCAGACAATAAATATAGCTAATATAACTATTACAACCCAGGAGTCCAAATGGCCTGTTATCCTGGGTGTAAAGGGAGCAAAAT